GGGTTGGGGGGCCTGTGTGGCAGATGTGGGGTGCACAGCTCACACCTTACACACTGTCCCCGTGGCTGCCTGGGGGGGCATCACCATCACCCGTGGGATGGACCCACCCTGGGGCACCCGTGGGTGAGGAGGAGGGTTGGGAACAGGATGCACGGAGGAGCCTCTGGGTCTGTCTCATGCTGCCTCGGGAGCTCCTTCCCTTCTGAAAGCACTTCAGTGGTTGCACTGAAACCGCTCCCGTTTCTGTCCCACTGGGGCCTGGCTGCAGGATTGTCCCAGGGCACGTGGGCTGCTCGGAGGGTCCCCATCCTTGGGCAGGCCCTACCTGCCCCGCACGGGATATGGGACCACACCTGGCTAGTGAGACAGGTTGTGTGGGCCCAGCAGGGACAAACCACCCCAACGTGCTCACCTGGCTTCGGCCACCGAGGGTGGGAGGGCAGCAGCAGCACCCTTGGCCTTTGAGAAATCCAGGCTTTTTTGCTGGCAGCCTTTGTTTCTAGCTGGGGTGGAAGCCACCTGCAGCATCCCACCTGTCCTTGGGTTTTCCTTTCCCTCTCCAGGTGTGGGACCTGAGTGTTGGCCACGGAGCCCCTGCCCTCCTCAAACCCTGCCTCCCCCTGGGGCTGCTCCCACCTCACCTTGCCTTTAGCCCGTGGGCTGGGTCACCATCTGGCACCCAGGCTGGGAGTGGTGCTGGGGTTTATGGCTTATCTCCCATCTCACCTTCCCGGGGAAAGCTGAGTCACCCAAGTCACCAGGGGTTACCCCTGGGCCCTGCCCTCCCTGCTCTGTGGGATTGCAGGGAGCTGGATCCGCAGCAGCAAAGCCTTCAGGGACAGGTTTTATCTCTGTTGAGTCTTCTCTCTGGGAGCCCCATCACTCCCCGGGGCTGTGGGGCACCTCGAGGGGGGGGCTGTGGTTTGTTGCAAGACCTTCCTTAAACATGAGAGCTGCAGATCCTGGGCTGCCAGCTCCCTATCTGGAAGTTACCTCCTGAGGTGCAATTCCAGGCTTAGAAATACCCACCTGACTCTGTTTGGTCCCCAAGTTAGCTCTGTGTTTAGGACTCTTCACCCTCCCAGTGCTTAAAGGTCTCAGTGCCAATGTTCTCAGGAGTTTCCAGGGGAGAGCAGACACCTTGCTGAGGTTTCCCCTGTGTGATGGGCTCCTCAGGGCTGTTGGTGACCGATGTAGCAGGTGGCAGCACATCACCTGGGTCCCTGGAGCCATGTGTGGGCTTAGCCAGCAGCAAATCCCATCTTAGCCTCAGTGGGAAGGTGAGGTTATTGCTGCACATGGGGCAGCAGTGACCCCCCCCTTCCTGCACCTGGCTGGGGCTGATGCTCAGTGTCCTCTTGGCTGTGGTGTGACCCTGGGCACTCACAATTAAACAGAGGAGCTAATGGATCATAAAGGGTCACTACTGTTTGTTGTGGCTCCTGGAAAAAATCTGGGAGGTTTGTTCTTGCTGTCTTGGAGAGCTGGGGAGGCTGATGGTGAGGTCCCCTGTGAAGGCCTCGTGGTTACTGTGTGGCTCAAGTGTTCTATCACCTCCTCTGACAGCCAGGGCTCCTTTCCCAGTGCCACATCAGAGCCATGGCAGCACTGGGAGCTCCCAGCTGCTTGGGCATGGGGGTCCAGGCAGTAGCTAAACCATCGCTCTGCTCAGACCTAAGCCCTCCCTCAGGGCTTGGTGGGTATCCTTGTGTGTTTGGGAATCTAAGAGCCTCTAATTGCCTTCTAGAGCTCCCAGAGAACTGGACAGACACCCGTGAGACACTGCTGGAGGGGATGCTCTTCAGCCTCAAGTACATGGGCATGACACTAGTGGAGCAGCCCAAGGGAGAGGAGCTCTCTGCAGCTGCTGTCAAAAGGATCGTCGCTACCGTGAGTGTCTGTGCTGGAGCAGAGCCCTGTCCTGCTGCTCAGACTGAGTCTGTCCCCAGGGAGTTTTGGAAGCCACAGGTCTGGAGACCCTGCTGTATGTCTGTGGGCTGGAGGGTGCCAGGATTGCAGGTCCAGCCCTTCCAGGGATGAGCAGGTGTCTGGTGGTGTAGGCAGAAACACAGAGAGCAGCAGTGAGAAGCCCTTGGGGCTGACCCTGGCTCATGGATGGGACAGGCTCTGGAGAGCTGGAGTTATGTGTCTGGGCTCTGGCTCCCCTTGATAAGCTTTGGGTGACCCTGGGTGTGGAAGGATTCTCTGACCTGGTGAAATCAGCCTTCCCCAGGGCCATGACTCCTCTCACAGGGCAGGGACAGGGTCTTGAGTGCATCCAGCACATGCCCAAGGGCTGGCATGCTCTTCTGGGGTTTTCTACTCAGGATTTGGAGGGTTAAGAGGAGAAGGGAGCAGGACAGTATGGTAACTTCTGATGCAAGAGGGACTGATTTTCAGCCACCCTCTAGCACCAGGCCTGCCTGGAGCCCCTGCTCACTGGGTTCCAAGTAAAATTAATGCTTCTTTAAGCCCTTATAAAGCTGAATGAAGCAAAGACCCAATTGTACAGTTAACCATCGTAAAACTCAATGGGGTGGTGAGCTGTGCTGGGTAATGACAGAGCCTTTCCTGGCACGTGCTGAGCTGGATGGGAGGGGAGAGCTCACATGAAACAGGATCTGCTGGCAGAGCCCTTCGTGTCTTCTCTGGTGAACTGAGAATGGAGCCTTTAAATAAAAACCCCAGGGCTGAGGCCAGCCTTTGAGGGGCAGGACTGACCACTGGCCAGGCTGGATGTGGCTCAAGTGAGGTCCCCAGAGAGCAGGGCTGGGAGCCAGGTCTGCAGGCTGCAACTAGCTGGAGGAGGTTTTCTGTTTGGGCTTTTTTTTTTTTTGGAGAGAAGCTGGGCAATGAGGTGAGCTTACATCCTGAAGGCTGACAGCATGAGGCTACTTAATAAGAGAAAGTGGCCCTTAAAAGTCTAGTTACTTTTTAAGCTGGTCTTCTTGGTGTGGGGGTGCTTTGCCACTCGGGTTTGACAGCAGAGCTCAAAGGTGGCAGCTGCTTGGAGCCCATGTCCTGCAGAACTGTCTCCCTTGTTCATACTGATGTCCCCCTGTGCTCCAGAGCTGGCTCTAAGGACAGAACCCCCAGGGGTGAAGCACCTCACAGAGGTGCTGGGCTGGAAGTACCTCCATGGGGTGTGAGGTGGAGGGTGTGTGTCCTTGTCTCCTTAATGCTAAACAATCACTGCTTCAGGGAAGGAAAGGTTTCAGTGAGTGCTTTATCACACCTGGTCATAAATTCGCTCCGGTACTAACGAGCACTATTAACATGCCTGTTAGGTCACACTGGTACTAACAAGTGCTATTAATGTGCCTGTTAGGGTCTGGAGTCTCTGCTCAGGTACCTTTGGACATGAGTTTTAAACACCTGTAACTTTCCTCTCCCCCTTTTCCTTCCAAAGGCAAAAGCAAGTGGAAAGAAGCTGCAGAAGGTGACTCTGAAAGTCTCACCCAGGGGGATCGTGTTAAACGACAGTGGAACCAACGAGCTGATCGAGAACATCTCCATATACAGGTGGGCCCTGGGGGGCACGTCAGGGGGGGCTGCTCTGAGGCTCCTCGTCTTCTCCAGTCTCCTGGGCTGAACTGGCTGGCTGGCCATCATGTTTTGATGGAAAGCAATGGTGGGGGAAGGAGGGTGGTTGCCAAACTTAAGGTAAATTTATGTCTGGTGCAATAAGTGTCCAGCCAGGGGTAAGGAATGACATGATGAGGCTGGAGGTGCTGTGTGTGCAGACTGCAGATCCACAGCCAAGAGCTCTGCAGCCATGGGTGGTTTACTGCTCAGTTTTGGCCACAGAAGGGCCGAAGCACCTGGGGTGATGGCAGGAGTTGAGCACAGAGGATGGTCAGAGCACCTCTGAGCAGGTGAGGGCATGAGTGCCAGAGCTGGATCTGGCTGCTCTGCACCTCTTGTGTGTTTAGAAAGCTCTGACCAGAGCTGGTTGAGACCAGTGTGGGGAGGGTGAGGATGGTTTATCCCGTCCGCTTCTCGGACTTGGGTGAGTGTTTCTTCCAAAGAGGCTGGAGGCAGGTGCAGGGCTGGCAGAGCTGAGCTCAGCTCAGATCTGGCCCTTTCCATGTCCTCCATCCCTGCTCCCCCTGGCTCCTCTCCTGTCCTTCCCACTGTGCTGATCGAGGGCAGGGAGCGCTGGCTCGGGGGCTCTCTGACCAGGCTGCTCCTCCCCTGCTGCTCTCCCCTCCAGCCCAAGCAGTGGTGCAGAGCCCCTGTGCTGAGCCCCAGCCCTCCCCAGGGCACAAACCTGCTGCTCAAAAGCAGAGCTGGGCCAGACAGCCACAAACACCATCACACCACTGCCAGGGTGGCTGTGAACGAGCCGTGGTGCCGCGGGTTTTTAGATGCTGCCTTAAATTCTGCCTGGACACTTTAACAGCTGGTGATAAAGCTGCTGCTCCTGGTCTGTGCTTGTGCATGAGCATCCCCTGGTTCAGGTGACTGGAGTCAGTGCATCCTGAAGAGGCTGTTGACATGGGGACAGCTGCTGCTGATGGTCCCAGGGCTTTCCTCTAACACCTCTCCTGTCTTCTCTTTGCTTTTTCTGCTCACTGGGGAGATGCCAGCTCTGAGCTCTTGCCCCAGATCAGGTTTTTGGGCAGGACAACATGGCCATGGCTAAGGCACAGCCACTGTCACTAGATGTGCCCCAGAGGCTTTGGTCATAAAACTGGCTCAGCTCAGAGGCAGGTCTGATTTATCCTTTCCCTGGAAATTAATGGCCAGAGAATATCAAGCTGAGCACTGGGTGTTGCTGGAAGGGCCTGTGCAGGCCTTCCACAGCTCCATCACATTTATTATAAGAGTGGAGGAAAATGGGAGAAAAGAGTGAACTTCCCAGTGCCTCTTCAATACAGAGCACAGCTCAGCTCTGGAGAACAAAATATAGGCCATTAAGCAGAGGTTTCCTCTCACAGCAAGAAACTAATGCAGTATAAATAAATTCTGATTGTGACCCTTAATTTAAAAGGGTCACTGCAAACTCTTTGGGGCAACAAGAACAGGAGCTGAACAAGCACTGTGAGACCATGGAGAAACTCACCAAAGTGTCCCACTTTTTCTTTGGCATTTTCTCTTTCCTGGTCACCTGTTTGTTCTGTTGCATGCCCAGGAAAGAGGTTTGCTCATTTGTGGCACCTTCTGCCTTCCACTAAACCTCTGGGGCTGCTCCAGCCATTGCTTTATGACTTCAGAGGAGACTCCTGCAGCTCCTGGCATGGATGGACCCATGGGAGATGATGGTGGCTGATGCTGAGGGACCCACTGCCCTGCAGAAGGGAGCTGAGCCCTCAGTCACAGTCTGGTCTCCCCAGACAGGTCAGCCTGTTGCTCCTCCAGAACCTTGTTGGCATTTTGGAGTCAGCCCTGGTCCCTGGGCAGAGCTGTGCTGGGGATGCTCCACTGGGGAGGCTGAGCCTCCTTCCCTGTGTCCCATGTGTTCAGGGGTCTTGGAGCATCCCTTCTGCTACTGCAGATCTTGGAGCCTGAATTCCAGCCTTTCTGACAGGTTTCCTTGGGTGCTGCCCTTGCATCAATTTCCTTCCCTGGTTTGAGCCTTGAAATTAAGTTGTAGGCTGGGAACAAATCCTCCTCTCTTCTTGGGAGCTTGTCCTCCTGGGAAGATCTTCTGGAGTCTCTTTTCTGAAGACAGAGCATTTGTCAGGCTGGCACCCTGCAGAGCCCTTACCTTCTCTAACCTGTCCTTTTCCTTGAGGTGAAACATTTTCTCTCCTCTCCTGCCTCTCTGTGTGGTGCTCTTGGTTCATGCCTTGGCTGTGGGAGTCTTTCTGGGCTTCTCTTACACTCAAGCCAGTGTCATCAATTCCTGCTTTGGGAAGGAGTTCCATCAAAGCCTGGTAACATTCCTGTGCTCCCTTTGCCTTCCCTGCTTGGCCTTGGAGCTGGAAGACCTGGGGTAGGAGCTTGCTGGCAGGTCAGAGGAGGGGTTGGTTGATCTCCCTTGGCTCAGTGCCCCAGACAAGACGTGTCATTGTGTCTTTCAGGATATCCTACTGCACGGCAGACAAGACCCACGATAAAGTGTTTGCCTACATTGCCCAGAACCAGCTCAATGAGAACCTGGAGTGCCATGCCTTCCTCTGTACCAAACGGAAAATGGTCAGTCCAGAGGAAGAAATGGGGATGTGGCTGGAGGAGGAGGAAGCAGAGAGGGGCTGTGCTGGTGAGATAACAGCTTTGCCCATAGTTAGGTGGGTCCCTGCCCCAGCCAACAGCCACGGGAGAGCACCCACCCTCCTGCTGTGGTGATCCCAGCTGTGCTGCCCAGACCCTGCCCATAGCTGCTCCAACGGGCTTAGCTCCAGGCTGGATTCAGCCCATCATCTTGGCAGGTAAAAGCTTTTCTGCCCTGAGGTCTGGGGCAGGGGTGAGAGGACCAGGGCCTGCCCCAGCACCTGCATCCCCCCCTGCTGTGCTCAGCTCCAGCTGCTGGGACTGTCCCTGCTCAGCCCCCACTTCCCAGATGCCAGAGCCACTCTGAGCCCAGCGTGCAGGGAGGCTTTGGCAGTGAGGACATCTCTGGGGGGCCTGGCAGTGGGGTGCCCAGGGACCACCTCATTGAGGGGAGGCATTTAGCCAGCAGTTCTGGGCTCCCCTCCCTGGCTTCCTTCCATTTCTTGTCCTCGAGGCTCCTTGTCCAATTTTTAGTGGCATCTTTGCAGACACAACCACACAGGGAACCCTGCTGGTTGCTGAAGATGGGCTTAGAGCAGAGACCTGCAGAAAGAAAAGAGTCTTTGGCTCTTGCTTGCAACTTAACCTGCTTGTGGGATTTTTTCCTGCTGGTTCAGTGTGTCAGGGTGGGCAGGGACCCAGCACCAGTGACCCAGCACCAGTGACCCAGCAAGGAAGAGGAGCAGGTCACAGGGTATTACAGGCTGTGTGTGGGGTAAGGAGAGCCCTGGGGGTCTCTCCAGTGGAGCCAGGGCTGGGGCTGAGTCCCCTCCCAACTTCAAAGACAACAAAGAAGGGCCTTTAGGACAGAGGAAGGGAAGGTCACGTCACATCCCTGTGCCCCTAGAAATTCTTCCCCTGTGGCTTGAGCAGAGAAGAGGATCTCCCAAATCCCCAAAGAACCAAACCTCCTGAGAGCGCTTCCCAGCTGATGCATCCCAGCATGGTGATTCCTGGGTCCTCACAAGCATCCCTGTGCCCAAGCATGGCCACCCCACATCTGTTAATATTCTGGGCTTCTCCCAACACTTGTCTTTTTTTCCTTGGAGAGAATAATGGAAGCTCCAAGTTGTCTCCTTCCCACGTCGTGTGCTCCAGTCCTGGCACGAAGATAAGCTTCGCTCTGCAAATTAAAATTTAAATCTCTCCAGTGGTAAAAGAATTATCTCAGTGGTACATCAGCTTAGTGTGTCTCCCTCCAAACTAAAGTTCTCCAAGGCCTTTTGTGGAAAAAAAAAAAAAAGGGATTAATATTGTTTTTTCCCTTGTCATTAAGGCACATGAATGTCATGCTGGCAATGTCCTGCTCCCAGACCCGGGGCAGGGTCCCTAAATGTAAGCACAGCTCCCAGTCATGGACATATAATTAGTCCATATTTTTAGTTCCTGGGTAATTCTCAACGGTAGTTGAGTCTATTAAACTTGATTCAGATGTGACAGCTTAAATTGTAAACAGCTGTGAGGAGTTTCATACTTAATTACCATATTTAAGTTTTTGCCATAAAGCGTTTGTACTTCCATCAAAGATGTAAATAGCTCAGACATGCAAATGAGCTCTCCTGCTTTGTGAGCTTTAATTGGCAGTGATGGGTTTGCTGGGTCTTCTTGCAACCTCCTGTGCAGGAGGTTTTTGGGGGACCTCTGTTTTTTGGGGGATGCCTGTGCTCTGCTCCTGCTTCCCCTGCCATCTCCATCCTCCCAGCTCCCGGGACATGGGTCGGGATTTGTTTAGTTTGCAACTTCCTAAAACAAACTTGTGCCTCAAGGCTCCTGTGCTGTGTCAGCCTTGCAGAGTGGGGCTCGTTATCTCCCTGTACTTAAACTGCTCATGAGCTCTGCCTTCTCCTAATGAAACTGGCATTTATGTCACTATTCATACGTCTCCAGCATCTCAGGCTATTTGAGGTGCTGGGGTTTGTGATGCTGCTCTTGGCTTGGGAGGAATGGAGGGACTGAAGGGGACATCCCCACTCATGCTGCAGCCCTGGTTGTTATGAAGCAAACCCAGGCTGGTGGTCTCAGCCAAGGGAAGACCCTGGGGTCTCTGTGGGAAAGAGCTGCAAATTCGTGGTGTTTCACCTTGTTGTCTGTTGCTCTCGGAGCCTCCTTGTGCGGGTGCTGGAAGGGACAAAAGCACAGCCCTGCCCTGGCTCTGCTGTGGCTGACAGTGCTCCAGGTCCAGCTGCTGGTTCCCTTTGAGATGTTGGTCTTTCTGGTAATGCTGGGTACCACACAGCCCAGCCCTGGAGCAGGGAGACACATCCCTTGGGAAGCTGCGAGGATGACCCGAGGGATGTGCAGCACTTCCACTTGGTCAGATCATGCTTTGTGTGGGGTGCAGGAAGAGCTGCATGGTCTGGAGTGGCTCCCTTTTCCCCCATCCATCAGCCTGGTGCCTGTGACAGCCCTGTCCCTGCCTCCTCCATCTTCCATGACACCTAAAGTCGTGTCTACAATGAGCTGCATGTCCTACATGGAGCAAGTCTCTGCTTCCATCAATATTTGATCAGCCCTCCCCAGCCAGGCAGGGAGCGTGTGGAGCAGAGGACTGGCTGGATCCAGGTTAATATGAATCTGGAAAGCAAAACCTCCAAATTATTTAAACCTACCCCAGGACCTGTGGATTAACTTTCTGCTTCACCTCTGTCTTTCCAGGCACAAGCTGTCACCCTCACTGTAGCCCAGGCCTTCAAAATTGCTTTTGAGTTATGGCAAGCAGCTAAGGAAGGTGAGTCTTTTTTCCCCTCTTCCCACCCTTCATGGGAGAGCTCAAGGGATGACTGGGTTTTTTCTAGCTTTTGAGGACATTTTCCTCTTGCCCTTTGGATTTCCAGGTTGCTGTTAGGGTTGGTCGAAGCTTTGGTGTGCTTTAAGGCATCTTCCAGGGAGGAAGCATCCACAGCTTCACAGGTTGCCCAGGGAAGCTGTGGCTGCCAGATTTTCAGGTTGCTGTTAGGGTTGGTCCAAGCTTTGGTGTACTTTAAGGCACACAGGTTGCCCAGGGAAGCTGTGGCTGCCCCATCCCTGGCAGTGTTGAAGGGCAGGTTGGATGGGGCTTGGAGCAACCTGGGCTGGTGGGAGGTGTCCCTGCCCATGCAGGGGGTTGCATCTAGATGATCTTTAAGGTCCTTTCCAGCCCAAACCATTCTATGATTCCAGGTTTCTCTGAACAGCCTTGGAAATGCAGCCAAGTTTTGGCTGTGCTGCTGCCTCCCAAGTGGGGTGTGGAGGCTGTGGTGCTTCTCTGTGATACCTCAGCTCTGCCAGCAAAACCCTGGGGTTTTGATTTCACCTTCCATGAGATTGTAGAACACACCTTGGTCTGCTGTGGGCAGAGGAGACCTGGTTGTCCATCCTAGCTGTCCCCTGCCCCTCCTCCCAGAAGGCTGCAGGGAAGCAGCCCACAGGCAGTGATGGGGTCTCCTCCTTTTGCAGAGAAGGAGAAGCGGGAAAGGTCCATCTTGGAAGGAGAAGGGACAAGCAGCTCCAGCTCAGATGCCCCTGCCCATCCTGACACACGTAAGTCACCAACAGCAGAGCTTGGTTTCAGGCTTGGGAATGGGGAACAGCCTGAGATCTGCAGGGTTTTCCTGAATGGGGCAGGCTCCTGGGAGGGCTTTGAAGACCAGCAAGGTGCAAGTTGGGAGCAAGGAACAAATTATTTGGGCCCAAAAGTCTTGCCATCCTATCAGCTGAAGGAGGTGGACATGGAGGTGCCACTTTCCCTCCACCTCCCCTAAAGAAGGAGAGATGCATGAAAATAAAACAATTAAATAGTAAAACCCTTCATAATTCATGCCTGGCCCTGGGTCCTCTGCTGCCTCTGGAACACGAGACATGGAGCCAGGGAGAAGTGGGACAAAAGGCTAATCTCTCTTCCATGCTGGCCATGGAGATAAGAGGATTTGGCACGGAGGAAAATAGCATTAAACTGGGCATCCTTCCAGGCTGGCACGTCTTGTTTCTTCGTGTGCAGGCCCAGGACTGAAGGGATCTGTCACAAGTGGTGGCACATGGGGACAAACGAGGCCCAGGGCTGCCACAGGTGTTGGAATAAGCTCTGACATCTGCCCAGGGGATGCTCCACAGCTGGGAGCCCTTACTGCAGAGTGATGGGAGGACCTGAGGCTTTCCTGGAACAGCCCAGACCACAGTGTACCAGCAGCTCCCAAACTTCAAACTGCTCCTCACCCAGTGCAGGATTTGCCCTTGGTCCTATCAAATAATGGTGCATCTTTGTAAGGCACTGAATTGATGCTGTGGGCTGAGCTGAGGATATTGCAGACGGTCTGTTCCAGTCCTGGGACTGGGATGGATTCTTGGAGTGGGGATGGGTGTCCTGGGGTGGGATGTGTCAGTTTTGCCCTGGGCTGATCTTTTCTCACCCTGAACATAAGCAGGTTCCCAGGAGTTTCCAGCAATGGTTGCTGAAGGGACAATTTGGCTGATCCTCCCCTTTGTCCCTGTTGAAGGGTCTTGGTTGCTGAATCTGAGCATCATTAATTATTTGGGATGAAACCTGAAGGCAGCTCCTCCATGCTAGAAAATGGGGCAATCCTGAAGGAACTGGATGAGCCCTTTGATCCCCCTCTTGAGGGGAAGCCATTCCTGCAAAAAGGTTTGGTTTCATGTCACCTCTTCTCCCCTCCCCTGCCTCATTTCCTCTCCCCTCTGTTCACAGCAGCAGCCACGGGCAACTTGCTGGATTTAGAAGATCCTGCCAAATCACCCCTGTCCAGCAGCACAAACTCCCCACAGTTGGACAACAACATGTTTGGGCCCAGCTCCTCTGTAAATAACAACGTGGTGTGGGTAAGTGTGTGCCCTGGGGTCTGCTGAGCCAGGGGGCTGTGATGCCACCTCCTTTTCATGTGCTCTGTCTCCCATCATGGGGCTTTTTCCTGGATAAAACCTCCTGGGAACTCTGGTGTGGTTGATCCATTCAGGCAGGGGTTCAGAGGTGCCCAAGTGAGCTGGGTTTTGGTGTCCTGCTCAAAATGATCAATTAGTGGTGGAGCACCTGCTGCCCCTGGTAGGCTCCATAAATGACTGGAGGAGATGGTGAGGCTCTCTGAGAACCACCACTGTCAGATAATTGAATATTACTTATTCCTGAGCAGCATTTCTCAGTGGTTTGTCACTTAATTGAGAGACCACCTAACTGCTCTCTTCAGGGGAAAGAAAATCATTATGTTGATGGCTTTTGTTTACTGTTTACCAAAGCCAAGTTAAATTTGTGTTCGTTATTACTCTTATTTTTCCCCTGTGGTTGTATCTGGCCTGTGTGAGCATGGGATGGCTTCTCCCACAATGGTCCCAGTCATCTGGCTTAATTGTTTCCTGCATGAATAGAAAAATAATGGCTCAGCCCATATGTCTGGGTGTGCATCCATTGGGGAGCTCCTCAAGTGCTCCAACCATGGACCTCATCCCCACCACGTGTCCTCTCTGGAAAAGCCCTCTGCTAAATCTGGGGGGATTGAATAATAAAGGCCTTTGCCTGGAGCCTGTTTCTGAAGTCTGACAGATCTGAGCCTGAGGTTTTTCAGGATAAACCTAAAGATCAATCCTAAGTCATATCAAATCCTGGAGGTTTATCAGCACTCTCTGAAACCTCCTTGCTTGCAGAGTTTTCACACTTTACATATCACATGAGGTCTGTAAGTGCCTCACCAGGTGGTGGGAATAGTCAGGTCTGTCCAAGCAAAGCCCTGGCACAGAGCCCATCTTCCTGCATGGGAAGTTTTTCTTCCTCAGTAAAAACTTTCCCTGAGGAGGAGATCAGAGGGAAAGGATCCCAGAGCTGCTTCCAAGCAGCTCAGGTTCCCCCTGTGCTGGAGCAGAGCTGCTTTCCAGGCTCCTGATCCAGAAAAGCCCCAGGGGATGCCTGGAGCATCTTGCCAAGCTGTGTCCATGTGTCCCTCTTGGCAGGATCCCACCACTGTCAGATAATTGAATATTACTTATTCCTGAGCAGCATTTCTCAGTGGTTTGTCACTTAATTGAGAGACCACCTAACTGCTCTCTTCAGGGGAAAGAAAATCATGTTGATGGCTTTTGTTTACTGTTTACCAAAGCCAAGTTAAATTTGTGTTCGTTATTACTCTTATTTTTCCCCTGTGGTTGTATCTGGCCTGTGTGAGCATGGGATGGCTTCTCCCACAATGGTCCCAGTCATCTGGCTTAATTGTTTCCTGCATGAATAGAAAAATAATGGCTCAGCCCATATGTCTGGGTGTGCATCCATTGGGGAGCTCCTCAAGTGCTCCAACCATGGACCTCATCCCCACCACGTGTCCTCTCTGGAAAAGCCCTCTGCTAAATCTGGGGGGATTGAATAATAAAGGCCTTTGCCTGGAGCCTGTTTCTGAAGTCTGACAGATCTGAGCCTGAGGTTTTTCAGGATAAACCTAAAGATCAATCCTAAGTCATATCAAATCCTGGAGGTTTATCAGCACTCTCTGAAACCTCCTTGCTTGCAGAGTTTTCACACTTTACATATCACATGAGGTCTGTAAGTGCCTCACCAGGTGGTGGGAATAGTCAGGTCTGTCCAAGCAAAGCCCTGGCACAGAGCCCATCTTCCTGCATGGGAAGTTTTTCTTCCTCAGTAAAAACTTTCCCTGAGGAGGAGATCAGAGGGAAAGGATCCCAGAGCTGCTTCCAAGCAGCTCAGGTTCCCCCTGTGCTGGAGCAGAGCTGCTTTCCAGGCTCCTGATCCAGAAAAGCCCCAGGGGATGCCTGGAGCATCTTGCCAAGCTGTGTCCATGTGTCCCTCTTGGCAGGATCCCACAGAGTGTGCCAGTCTCGTGGCAGGAGCTGGAAGAGCTGAGGCTGTGGTTAACCCCAGAGGGGCATGTGGTGCAGCTGATGGGCTGGATCCAAGCCCCTGTCCCACCCCTGGGCTGCGAGGGGAGGCTGGTATCCCCAGACTGAGCCCTGGGATCTGCTCTGAGGAGGCCTGGACCACCCAGAGTTACACCTCTTACCTTGGGGCTGGTGCAGAGATAAAACCTGCCCGAGGAGGCAGATTGCCAGAGGATCTTTGCTTTAGGCACTTGGAAGTCAATATGTGTGTATATATTTCTCTGTCTGCTGTGCTGGAGCGCGGAGCTGAATCTCTAAATACACTTTTGTGTGTTCTCTTAGCAACTTGTCTCTCTTTTTATCTCTTTAACAAAGGAAATGGATGATGGTCTCGACGAGGCTTTTTCAAGGTAATTCTAATAACTCCCCTTACAAGTTCACGCCACCAGGGACCAGCCCTGGAGACTTGACTAGTGACTGGCTTTTAATAATGCTTCTAATCTAATCAGCCACCATGATCTGACCTAGGCAGCTGCCCCATCAGTTCCTCAGCTGTTAATTGGGAGATAGGCTTTGAGGCTGGCTGATAAGCCAAATATTTTTACAACCTTTTTAAGGATGGAGAGAGGCTGTATGTGATAGGGAATTTAATTCCTCAAGCAGTTGTTGTGTCCACTCCTGTTTGCCAGGGTGGTTTGAGGCTGCCTGTTTCCAGCCCCTGTGATAACCCTGGTGATGCTGGTCTCAGCTTCTGGCACAGGGGACTTTAGTCTTTGTCACTTCTCTGTGAGGTCTGGGCTAGCCCTGGGACCTCATTCCCCTCTGTCCCCAACCCAGCAGCAGCTCCACCTGTCCTTGCTGCAGCCTGGTTGTGTCAGGGTGACTCTGATGCACCAGTTTCTGGATTCATGCACCTGAGCACATTCAGAGTTCATGGCCGTGGCTTCATTTGGCTTAGTTCACTTCCCAGTCCAAAGCAAGAGCTTCCCTCCCCTTCCAGCTGGGAAGGAGGTGCTGGAAGGTTAATGGTTGTTAGGTTATGGTTGGATTGGATCATCTTAAAGGTCTTTTGCAACCAGAACAATTCTAAGAAAGAGGGAGTCTTGAATAGCCCCATCCCTAGGAGTGTTCAAGAGCAGGTTGGATGGGGCTTGGAGCAACCTGGGCTGGTGGGAGGTGTCCCTGCCCATGCAGGGGGTTGGGACTGGATTATATTTAAGGTCCCTTCCAGCCCAAACAAGTCTGGGATTCTGTGAGTCAGGCAGTAGCAGAGCTGAGCCCAGCACTGTCACCTCTCCGGGGTTTGCAGCAGCACAAACCCTGCCTGCTCAGCCCTGAGGAATCAGACCTTCGTGCCTTGTGTGGCTCTCAGGAATGATTTACAGCTTCCACTTCCACAGTAGCTCTGTCCCAGGTTGTGTTTGCTAAAGGGGCTGCTTGAATTTATGTCTCAACGTTGTCTTGTTTTCCTCACCTCTGCTCCCTGCCCTGCTTAATTAAACAGATGTTGTTGGTTGAGGTCTTTTGGTTTGCATTGCTGGGTGCCAGGCTGTCACATCACCCTTGGCCTGCTGGTGACTCAGTATTTAGTCTGCTCATCCACCCAGGCAGATGCTTCTGAAGTCCTTCCTGAAGCAACTGCATGGCTGGCAGGTTTTCTTCTTTAACTTTGAGGGTCACTCAAGCCCGTGCCTGTGCTGGATGAAACCCCAAATATTTGAATTAACCTTTTGGCCCTGGGTGAATTGATGTTGCATTTTCACAGAGGTATTTAATAACACACCAACAAACTGGGGCTTGTGAGGTTTTGTGAAACAGCCGGGATGGGCTGGAATTAATACCCCCTTAAAGCTGATCCTGTGGCTATTAAACATCCTCTGAGTCCTGCTGTGCCTTAACCCAAGGAGTTAAATGCTTGGGAGCCCTGAACTCCAGCCCACGCTGCTTGTCCAGACACACCAGAGTGAAAACTGAGTCACTGCCACCAGGCTGCTCCTCTGGGCCTTGGCACAGAGATAAGATCCCAGCTAACAAGCCAGCAATAGCTTGGGGAAGGTTCTGCCAGACCATTTAATATATGGGATGTCCAGACTGCAAATTCCCTGGGTGCCTGTAGGGGAAATGTTTGGATAATCCAGCAGCAAAGCTGCAACAAACCAGCTCTCCCCTTCTGCCCTCACTGAATTATTTCATCCCATTGGAGGATTTTGACACGTGGAACTGGAGCTGGGGTTGGGCATTAGGGATGCATCAAGCATCCAGGCTATAAACTGCACTGATTTGTGGTCTTACTTGCTGTTTTTCTCCCCTCTTAGACTGGCTCAGTCAAGAACAAACCCTCATGTCCTCGACACGGGTCTGACTGCTCAAGACATCCAGAGTGCAGAATCGTTCTCACCTGTAGACTGGAATAAAATAGATTCCAACACAGGGGAGAAAGATGATCTCTTCATGTTTTGAGGTCAAATGCATCTAAGAGCTGACAAGAGAATAACCACTAAAAGTTCATGGACTGAATCATGCTGTTCCAGGTGCTGTACACAAGGGACTCTCCTGAGGGCTCTTCACCAAGTCAGCTGATTTTACAGCAGTTTAGACCAAAGCTTTAGAAACCTAATGCAGAGTTTTGTACCTTGCTTTTATCTAAACCACAAGATGCTCTCCAACGTATTTATTCTTAGCAGTTACAGTTTACACGTATTATTGGAAAGTGTGTAGAGCATCTACAGTATTAGGTGGCAATATACCATGGAAGAACCTTCAGCAGTGCCTGTTCCTCTCTTGAAAAAAATACTATGCAACACCAAAGTCTCTCTATACTTTTCTAGACCAAGGTCTGCAGATGCAAATGCAATTGCAAGCACAACTGTTACTTATCCACTGTTTCTTGAACAACACATCACCTGCCGAGGCGAGGGGAGGAGATTTGCAGCAGCTGCTGACACAGTGTTCAAATCAAAGAGGTAGCTGGGATCTTGCTTTTGTTGGGAATGTCTCTGACACTCTCACACTTGTCAATCACCCCAACGTGTTCTGGCTGTTTCTCCACCAGCCTCGGGTGGGAATTGATGCTTTTGTTTTGTTCACCCAAAGACTCTCTGAAGTTTTGCACTTTAAAACTTGAACTGAAAGCAATGGTCCGAATTGTCAAGGCAAGCAGTGCCTGTCCCTTCTCTTCAGAAGCCACTTACCCAAAAAATAGCCCCCTAAAAAACCACCCCAGCCTGGCAATGCTGCAGCTCTGTTTCAGAACTGACTGCTCCCGTGCCCCGTTCCTGCTGTGACTCGGGATCCTGTTGCACTGTTGCCTTCCAAAGCAAAACCACCAGGGAGCAACAATTTGTTTTGCTAAAGCGTATGGGAAGTTGGAGGGTGGGTGAGCCCAGCACACAATAGATCTGTGTTCTTAGCCCTGCTAAGTGGATTTGGCTGTGCCTGCCTTTTTAGTGTCTCAAAACCATTTGGTTGTTGCTCACTCGATAGACTCAAATGGAATTGAATTAGGCAAGACCAATACCTGGATGTTCAGTTAGCAGGAGGTGCCCCTTCCAGCCATGTCCCCATCCCCTTCCCCCCAACATCTCCATGAGCCTTGGGGAGCTGTCTTCATCTGGAATTGAAAATAAGTAATGGAGGTATAAAGCTTATGCTAATTAAAAGATTAAGTTTAATGATCCTAAATAGTCACACTGACAGTTTGCAGTGTTTGTGGCCTTATGTGAAGTATACTAATCTGTTTTATAGATTTGTAACTTGGTTTTGAAACACTAATTCATTCCCCAGATAGCTCTTTATAACTCTCTTAAAACTGCTTGCAGGAAGAAATAAAAAAAAAAAGGAGGAAAACCTCTTTGTCAGCTGTAAGGATTTATTAGGAAACAGCTGAGTGACTCTAACTTAGATTTGGGGATTTTTTTTCCTTAAGTGTTGCTGCGAGAAGGTGTTGAGGACTTGGGAAGCTGACTCATCATGTCTCTCAGTAAAATGGATGCTCTCTTTATCCTCCAAAATTGTGTTTAAACCAATTTTACATCTTGAAACTATCGTGCCCGTGACTTATTTGAGCTTATCTGTAGCATCAGTCTCTTGATCAAAGGAATTATTCCAAGTTTGGCTGCGCTACAGAGGCACAGGGTAGAGACAGGAACCTATTTTATAAGCAACACCAAAACTATGCAGAAGTGGTTGGAGCAAGAGCCTTGTCCTGACCCTGGGGAGTGGTGGTCTTCCTAGGAAAGAGCTTGGGCTGCAGGAATGGGCCTTGAGGATCTCTCTCCTCTTCTAGAGACTTTAGGAGTGTATCCTGAAATGCACAAGACTGTATTTGTGTGTACATAGTTTTTTAAGAAAACCTTCTGCTGTAAAGAATACCTGTACTGAGGAAAATAAACCTTAAACCCTTTTTTTGAAGTCTGTGCTGGGTGAGTTAATTTTTACCGTGGTCCTTTTTAACATGGAGAAGCCTTTGTGTTTCTAACTGGTTGAATTCTCTGTCTCCCTTGGTGTGTAGCAGGAAACAACCAGAAACATCTGCAGGAGGTTTGTGTCCATCAGAAGACTCCTTCCAGGTGGGAAGATGGCTGCAGTTAGACACCAGGAAGTGCTTCCAGGGCTGGATGTGGCCATGGGACATGCACAGAGGGATGTACAGAGGTCACCTTCCCTCCAGTGCCAGCTCAGTAAACCTGTCCCTGCCTGAGCCCCCACACCGCTGGATGCCTCAGGTAAGGGTGGGACAGAGGAGGAGAGGGAGATCAGTGCTTCAGGCTTGTTTTTGGACATTAGTTGGATATCAGAAGAAACTTCTTCACTGAAAAGGTTATTAAACACTGGCCCAGGCTGCCCAGGGAGGTGTTTGAATCCTCATCCCTGAAGGTGTTTAGAAGCTGTGTAGATGTGGTGCTGAGAAGCTGTATAGATGTGGTGCTGAGGGATGTGGTTTAGTAACTGGACTTGGTAGAGTTGGGTTCATGGTTGGACTTGATGTTCTTAAAGGTCTTTTCCAACTAGAACGATTCTGTGATTCTGTAAATATGGTGCTGGTAACATCAAAAAACAAAATCCCTTAATTGATAGTGTTTCTGAGCTGCTCTGCAAAGTACTTCTCCCTTGGGGGCAGTTTAATTTGTACAGCTGCCTTTTAAATAGGAACATCCCAGAGAGCCTGGGCACTGCCTGTGTACTCAGCCTCCCCCTGCAATTCCTTGGCTGTGAGCTTGGAGCAACCAGCTAACCAGGCTGCTTGTCTGGGAATTGCATGGAAAAATTCCTTTGGGGATGCTGACAAACAGATTTAACCTGTGAGTAGCACCACGTGCCCTGTGGGGCCTCAGAGGGTGCTCTGCAGGAGAGCAAAGGGACTTTGTGGAGATGCTTCTCTTCCTGCAGTGGTTAAACTCACAAAACAAATTCACTCCCAAGTTCCTATTTCTGTTGAAATGGGCTGTTCCAGTGTGAGGAGATGCCCCAGATTATGAGGACATGAGTACTGGCAGCCTGTGCCTTCATGCATAACTGATGGAACCAACGGACCTTGGGTTTGATGTGACCTTTTTTAAGTGCTGGTTAAGAAACTTTCAGCGCCTGTTTCCTTCGCCCCAGGTGGCTCCTGGGGGGAGCCAGGAGGGGCTGGGAGGTGCCAGGGAAGGCAGCTGCCTGCTCAGGGGGTGCAGCACCTGCTGTGAGCTGGGGGGGCTGGTGCTCTGCTCACCCCAGAGCTGCATTTCCCAGGGGGATGTGGAGTGAGGTGGCATTTTCCTCCCCCTGGAGCAGCCTCAGCAGCAGAGCTGGGGCTGTGCTGGGACAGGCTGGTCTGTCACCCTGCCTGGGCACGGGCTCTGTGGGATGGAACCACCCCAGCCTCAACCTCCCTCCCCAAAGCACTTGCAAAGAAACAAAACCTGCAGCAAACCAAGGAGTTCAGAGCTGATTTCTTTCCCTGCTGGGGCTGTAACTCGTTAAACTCATTTACTGCACCCCCCAACACTGCAGCAGCAAATGTGTTTACAGGCATGTGTTAAGTTCATCCAGCGTTGCTGTTTCCTCTCTGTCAAGTGCTCTCCAGTGAGAGTCAGTTGTGTCAAGGCCAAATCCAGCTCTGAGGTCACAAACTGGCTGACTCAGGGAAGTGCTGAGCTGCTTAGGTTGATGGTGTTCAGTGCAGCAGGTCCTGAGCTCTGGACTTCTCTCCTCTCCTTTGGAGTGGTGAAAGACTTTGTAAATCCATGCCAAGCCTGAGCCAGAGCTGCAGGGCTGTCGTTACTCAGATTTAAAGTGCAAATAAAGAGAGCAACATTTCATCTGAACACCTGAATGCTGTATTAGGGTTTTTTATAGCCAACCCCAGGGTGCTGGGAGCTGTGGGCTGCTCTGCAAGCCTCGATGTGCTCTGAAGCAAGAAAAATAACCATCAGAAATGTGTTTTGGCTTGGGATGGAGGGGGGACTAGGGTGGGAATGGAGGGGGGTGTTGGTTGAGCGCTGCTCTCCTACATGTCAGCGTTGCGTGAGGCCTGGCTGCAACAGCAACAAACTGCCAGAGCCTGGTGAGATTTGTCCCTGTCGAAGCCAAGGGGAGCTGAACCAGAAAAACACCAGGCAGAGGAGATGTTTGCTGAAAGCCTCATCCCCAGCTCTCAGGGACCCGGGGCAGGGCCGCGCTGGAGGAGCTCGGCACGGGTCAGCGGGCAGCGCTGGAGGGGTGTTCTGCAAGCGCGTCCCTGCCTCTGCTTTTGAACTTCTTCCAGGGTTTGCAGCACTTGATGGCAGGAGATGATCTTGCAGCGGGAGAGC